TTTTTTTTCTCTCTGTCTCTGTTTCAAACTTTAGATTTTGGTCCTAAAAACAGATTCTCAGGATCTTGTTGCTTCCTTCAGAGTAACAACTGGAACAAGCAATACCACGGCCATCAAATCAATTGAATTTGCCCGGAAAGGGAGGTGAGCGAGATCTTACCTTTCCAGGGACAGTTTTATTTCTTCTTCTTTTTCTTTTTTTTGTAAAGTAATGATCTCACCAGGGACAGTTTTAAAAGTCAGTAGAGTGCAAAAATACATTGAGATTTGTAGTTTTTGTGTATATTATAAGGTGAGTGATCAGTGCAGAGAACCAAAATGCCTGGCACATAGTAAGCACTAGATAAAGATTAGCTATTATTATAATCAGAACTGATGGCATAAAATTCACATTGTAACTGAACATGCATTTACATAAAACCTATTTATATATATTCCTAATTTTGTATGTTATTCTAATAAGTTTGGTTACCCAGTTAGAAGTACATATATCAACAGAAACAAGAAGAGGTAATAGTCATCCTATTTTGGTTAGGAACACCCATACATAAAGGACATTCGTGTTCAAAATGGCCTGGTGGCTCATGCCTATGATCCCAGCATTTGGGAGGCTAGGTGGGAGGATCGCTTGAGGCCAGGAGTTGGGGACCAGCCTTGATAACATAGTGAGACCCTGTCTCTACAAAAAAAAAAAAATGGTCGTGGGGATGCACGCCTGTAGTCCCAGCTACTGAGGATCCTGAGGCAGGAAGATTGGGCCTAGGAGTTTGAGGCTACAGTGAGCAAAGATTATACCACTGCATTCCAGTCTGGGCAGCAGACCTAGACACAGTCCCTGTAAGAAAGTGATGAAATATAACTTATTTTAGACACATTTCTAAGATTTCTGATGTCATTACAGTAAAAAGTTGTACATTTTAAAATGACACATTTAGTTTAATTCATTAAGAAGAATATATTGTGTATATAATAGGCCAGTGAAATGAAGTGTTAATACACATTTAACTACAAGCCTGTGAATTTAGCAAGCTGGTTTCAGCTTAGTGGTCTTGGGCCTTAGTTAATACTGACAGTTTGTAAGTTTTGGGTTCAGGGATACACAAGAAGTTATAAAACATATTCAAATTATATTCTGGTTTGAAAGGTGACAAGTAGATAATATAAGTATGCTAGTCTATTGCTTAGGTTTGTATTCAGTTTCTCCCCAGTTAATTATTTTGTGGTACTGTTTTAAGTAACTGGTAATAATAGAAAATGTTAACGGGAACAGATTAATGACCTCTGGTGTTGATGTCTTTCTCTTTCCTGTAGTTGCTTTTTAATTAACACGGCAGATCGAATAATCAGAGTTTATGATGGCAGAGAAATCTTAACCTGCGGAAGAGATGGAGAGCCTGAACCCATGCAGAAATTGCAGGACCTGGTGAATAGGTATGTGTCACAACCTAGAAGAATGTGTGATAATTCATGACCTGGGCTCAGGTTCCAGTTCTCCTTGGTACTTTCTTTGTACTTTAGGACCCCGTGGAAGAAATGTTGTTTCTCTGGGGATGGGGAATACATCGTGGCAGGTTCTGCCCGGCAGCATGCCCTGTACATCTGGGAGAAGAGCATTGGTAACCTGGTGAAGATTCTCCATGGGACGAGAGGAGAACTCCTCTTGGATGTAGCTGTGAGTAGAGTGGGACATTGCTTTTGTTACATAAACCAGAGTATCTTGAATCTATTTTACAATCTGTTTTTCTTTTTTTCGTTAAAATTTAGTGGCATCCTGTTCGACCCATCATAGCATCCATTTCTAGTGGAGTGGTATCTATCTGGGCACAAAATCAAGTGGTAAGTATTTTTCTGGTTTCCTTGCTTTGAAACTAGATAACCCTTGTTATTATCAAAGAACCATATACATACATAGTAAGCTAGTAATTACCTTGTTTGCTTTTTTTATTGCATATGATTCTTTCAACCTAATTAAATAGGTTCAGCGCATCTAGTTTCACTTTATTCTGATAGGAAGGTCTTGGTCCCAAGCTAGTTTACTAGATTTGTTTTCAGGGAGAAAGTCTTGACGCTAGACTTTCTGTTACATTTTTCTGTGATTTATTTGATATATATTTTTCTTTTGCTTTTCTTAGTTTCAGCTCAGTTTCTGTTTTACATCTTGGTTTTACTTTGAACCCTTTTAAACTATATTTGTAATACGTGTACTTATAAGAAAATTTAACATTTTCCATCAAAATTATATCTTAAGATCAAAGAAGGCAATTATTTATGAAAGATCTATAGTTAATAACTTAAAATGTTTAAGATAGGAAATACCTTAAGATAGTAAAACCTACAGATACCTAATTTTTATTCTTATCTGCCAAATTTAATCTCAGAGTTGTTACTCTCTCTTGTGCTCAGATCTTTCATTTTATTATTAATATTAATGTCTAGATTATAGGTTATTGCTTTCTTATCTGGTTAAATAGTATTTTCTTTGTGGCATAGGAAAACTGGAGTGCATTCGCACCAGATTTCAAGGAATTGGATGAAAATGTAGAATATGAGGAAAGGGAATCAGAGTTTGATATTGAAGATGAAGATAAGAGTGAGCCTGAGCAGACAGGTAATATTTCTCAACTGCAGATAGTATTTCCTAAAGGGAAAAGAATTGCTTCACTTAGTATCCTTAATTTGTGTTGTAAATTTATTTCGTACTTAGGCTAAAATGTCACTTTGTTCTTTAAACTTACATAGTTTTCACAGTGTTCGGAGAGTCTTAATTTACAAAGCATTAACTAAGGGCTTATGTGGGCATGGCCAGAGCTCAAGCAGCTCTCTTGACATTTCACTTTGCATTTCCTGATGAACCGCAGATGATTAAGTGCGGGCAGACATGTAGCACCTGGCAGAGCAGCCACGTGTGCTCAGTGCTTGGCTTGTACCGTGTATTCTGTCTCTCCCTTCTCAGTAAGAGAAAGGACAAGAGCATGAGCTCTGGAGTCAGACTGCCTTGGGCAAAATACTTATTCTGAATACTTACACCTTAATATCCTCATCTGTAAAATAGGGGTACTATAGTCCTGCCTTTTAGAGTTGTGGGGAACAAATGAAATAATTCATGCAACACACTTAATATATGCCTAGGCCGTAATAAGCACTCAGGTGTTATTTTCCGTTATGATTATGACTGTAATCATTGTTATTTTTATCTCTTGTGAACTTCTAGCTGGGAGCTCCTTGAGAAGAAAGATCTGACTTTTCTCTCCGTTGTGTCTGACGCAGGGTTTACGCGTAGTAGGGTTCATGTGTGTGAATGCTTAGGATGCCTAGTTGTCACTGTCAGTGAGTCAGTGATTCATGCCACAGATCACTGACTCCTGGTCACTTAATGGTGCCAGGAACCAGGAGTCAGGCTTGAGGTCAGTACTCACCAGCTTGAAAGTGCTGGTCCTAACTTTTGTGATGCTAGGTAACTTCCATGCCTCCTGTGTTGTAGGAGGACCTCCAGGGATGCAGAATGTTTTGGGTTGTATTGGCATTGTTGGGTTATGTTCTGTTAACCCTTCCCAGACTTCCACACAAATCGTTCCTCCTCACCATCTCCTGAGCACATTGCACATACCTTTACTGTAGCACTTGCTGTATTAAATTGAAATTATCTGTTTGTATCTGTCTCCCCAATTAGACTATGAAGCTGTTACTGAACTATTCCCAGCTTTCTTGGTCATCGCTCTATTTCTAGTGCCTAGCATAGGGCGGAAATTCAGCACACATTTGTTAAATATGAACTGTTTAGTTTTCTTCCTTTGTTGCTTCTGGATTTCAGTTTATGAAAACCATTAAGCTGCAAGTAAAAAGCAGCTTCCACTTCTTCTCAAACCTCTCCTGTGTTTCTGTCCTGCAGGGGCTGATGCTGCAGAAGATGAGGAGGTGGATGTCACCAGTGTGGACCCCATTGCTGCCTTCTGTAGCAGGTGAGCCAGCATGGAAGGCTGGGCCGTTTAGGATGCTCCTCCTCTTCAGTCTCAGGCAGGGCTGAGGGTACTGTTCAGTCCCCCTGGCTGTCCCTTCAGTCCCGTCTGCTCATTAGCGAAAAGAGGGAACTCCTTGGGTATACAAGTAATATGATGTAGTCTTCTCTAGTCCTATTTCCCCTTCCTCTCTTCCTGATAGAGAATTTAAGAAACCGAAATAATTGATTTATCCTGTTTATTTTTACTACCGATTTTATTAATCATGGTGTCTGATTTCCTTTTATTCATCTTGGCTTTCTTAAAGTTCTAGATCCATACGTGTTACTTATGTTTAATAGGCAATGGAGGAAGGGCTCATGGTTTAAGCAACTATCTCCTCTTTTTTCCAATCCCTTGTCTGATCCTGATCCAAATAGTGATGAAGAGCTGGAAGATTCAAAGGCTCTATTGTATTTACCCATTGCCCCTGAGGTAGAAGACCCAGAAGAAAATCCTTATGGCCCCCCACCGGATGCAGTCCAAACCTCCTTGATGGACGAAGGGGGTAGTTCAGAGAAGAAGAGGCAGTCTTCAGCAGATGGGTCCCAGCCACCTAAGAAGAAACCCAAAACAACCAATATAGAACTTCAAGGAGTACCAAATGATGGTAAGAGTTGCTTCTTTTCCCTGTTGCCCGACAAACAGTACTCTCGAGTGCCCAGTGCACTCTGGTAATTTCCTGTTTGAACAGTTTTACCTTAAAGGACTTTTCCCAGGACTCTTTTTTACAGTGTTTTACGACTTCGTAATGATTGCATCTGTGTTCACTTCTCTTTTAAAATGGGGAGTTCTGCCCTTCAGTACCTTGCCCCTAAGGTGACACATTTTAAGTCTTCTGACGCCTGGCTCAGACTTTGTTTTATTATACCATTCTTCCTCTTTTTTATTTTTTTCTTAGAGTAGTTTTATTAGGTGATAAAGTACTAGTTAGACCTGGACAGTCATTTCATTCTTCCTGCCACCTTTTACAGACTGACTCTAGAAGCCTTTATTATTAATATCATGTCTTGGGATAGGTGGGGATGGATGGAGGGGTGTGTGTGTTTGTTTACTCTTGGGCATCCTCCTTTCTCTTTCCTTTTAGCTAACTACAGATCAATTAAGCATGCAACTGTACATTCCCCTGATGCTATTGATTGTGTATTCTGTGTGTATTCTGTAATCCACAGTTGTGGATTTGTATACAGTTGTTGACTTTTACATCAACCCTGCAAGTTGATTTACTATCCCTACTTTTCAAAGGAGAAAATTTAGGCTGAGGTTATGTTTTGAGAGATTATGTAATTTGTCCAAGGTCTCACAGGAGGTGGGGTGGAGGGTCAGGATTCTTGTTCTGATTTGTCTGGTTCCACAGCCTCACGTGCCTCTGTGTGTGTGTGTGGCTTGGTTTGGAATAGCATCAGTGCATCTTTCAGCTACTGCTCAATTTAGAGTTGCTGTGGCTTGGTATGGGCCATACAGGCTGTGTGTGCTTTTGGCCAAACTACTTCTCATTTAATGGCCATTCTTACATATTTTTATAAATAATAAACAAGACAGACTTTTCTCCTTGTATTAGTGGATCTGAGACACAAAGCAACATTCTTTGCTCACAAAGTTCCGTTTGGCACATTGGGACTGGTGTTGTATGGATTCCTTTCCAAGCCTATCCTGTCCTTCTACAGAAGTCCATCCACTACTGGGTGTGAAGGGGGATGGCAAATCCAAGAAGAAGCAAGCAGGCCGGCCTAAAGGATCAAAAGGTAAAGAGAAAGATTCTCCATTTAAACCGAAACTCTACAAAGGGGACAGAGGTTTACCTCTGGAAGGATCAGCGAAGGGTAAAGTGCAGGCGGAACTCAGCCAGCCCTTGACAGGTAAGGACACATTGGGAGCACTGTCTGGCTTGCTTCGTGGCCTTGCTTTGTACAGCCCCTGACTCCATTTAACTGCAGCGTTTATTTTTCTCCCTTCCCTCCGTTTCCCAGCAGTAAATAATCTCTGAATTTTAAGCTGCTGCTAAGGGCAAGCTAAAGCAGATTTGTCTTAATTCAGTGGCTCTTAACCTTGGGTCTATAAATAGGTTTCAAGGGAATCTATATTTCCCTGATATTATATGTAAAATATTATGTCAATGTTTTTCTGGGAAAGATATCCATAGCTTTTATCAGATTCCTATAGGAAGCCATGACCCAAAAAAGGGTAAGAACCCCTGCTTTAATTCATTTCTTTCTGGTTGCTCTTAGGCTTTTTGTTTATTTGTTTAGTCTCAAATGAAAGAGCCAAATAGCCAGAAATACAAGCTTGTTTTATATAGCTGCTGACGGTTTAACTGTAGTGTCTTACTTCTCTCTTTCTAAATTGTTCAAACCCCACAGATGGTGTCTTTCTCTCTCCCAGTAGTCTAGCAGCCATAATGAAGTTATTAGTACCATGATATTAAGGAAAATGACATGTTTTTGTTTTTTTCCTCAATGTCTGAAAACAGGAGGAGATTACCAAAAACACAGAAACTACAATATCTATGTAGCTTCTTAACACTTAAACCTTTTGAAACTTAATATTTGGATTTTCTCACTTTTATATGATTGAGGGATTTTTATTGGGGATTGGAGAACAATTTGAAATTCCTACCAAATACTCGTGAAGTTAGGCTAAATGGTCTTTTATTTAGAAAATATTAATCAGAATCCATTTCTATTCAGACACTGGGTTTTGGAAGTTTTTTATTTTATATGTAAGTTAATACAGTACTCAATTTTTTTTGTGGCTAGTTTAGTAGACTCAAAGACAGGATTGTTAACATCAGTGGTTGCATGCAGGTTTTTTCCCTTTTGCTTTAAAATTTTAATCTAA